AGTAATCAGTGTAGAAGAAAGCTTGAAAAGAGAGAGCCACCACAGGAGGTTTCAACGACAGTATTTCAATGTCGACCTGGCCCAACACTTCAGACTCATAACGACCTTTTCTGCAAGTCACTCCATGTGTTTTGTTTTTTTTTCACATGGTGTCCTTAATGCAAAAGCTAAGGCTGTTTTTTCAGACCAGAGCCAACACCTATACCTAACCTCCTTAGATGTTCCAATTTCCCATATTCAGAGGTGGTTCTTCTAACCCCCAAATTCCCACACAGTCCGTGCACGCACCACAGTTCTGCTCCGTCGGACGGCAACGCGCCCTGCCCTACTGGATCTGCATCTTGAAAGTGAGCGCAGCGGAGAGCAGCTGTACACACATCACAGGAGAACTACAAGATCCCGCTGGAATAAAGAGGAAAACACATTGATATCTGATTCAACTATCAGTGCTGGCCAGTACGGTCAGTTAAACCAACAAAATGCTGCTTTACCAGTACGGTTGTAAAAGGGGAAACTTAAAACAAAACTTCCATAACTAACATATGTAACTCTCCATAAGAACAGGAACATCAATGACACATCCTGATATATAAAAAATTACTCTTCAGCATATTTCATTTTATTTCAAACCTTTATTTATTCTCGAAAAGACACTGAGGTTTCCCTCCAATGCCGTCAAGATTACAAGTACAGTAAAACAAGCAAAAACACATCAAACACTCAGAAACAACAAAAACCACTGAGGACATTTAAAACTAATAAATGCATATAATTAATAAATGCAATACATTATTATTTGTTAAAAAAGTTCATAACAATTTACCATTTAATTGACATCAACTCTCACACATTCATTAGGGTGATGCGCTGACTTAGTGTGGCGCTGTTGATGGGATGATAGGCAAGATTTCCCTCCTAACAATACGAAAGAGCAGATAAAAGACCTTACTCATTGTTATGTTACAAAAAGCAGGTAAAATACCTTACTCATTGTTATCTTACAAAAAGCAGGTAAAAGACCTTACTCATTGTTATCTTACAAAAAGCAGGTAAAAGACCTTACTCACTGTTATGTAACAAAAAGCAGGTAAAAGACCTTACTTATTGCTATATTACAAAGATCTGGCCTATTCATCATGAGCACTTTAGCAAAGCAGCAAAAGTTACAGTGGTAAGAAAAAACGTCCTTATTAAAAGACAGAAATCTTCAGCTGGATCCCCGGCTCATGACGAAACAGCCTTCACAGGCCTAGACAACTATTAGACTGGTGCCATCGGGCTTCATTGATACGTAAAGCTTAGTATCCTCTGCATAACATCATATGCCGGTTAAGGTTTGTCGGATTCATAAAACACATGGAAAGTACACCCCTAACTGCTCAATTCCACCAGATAAGTGTTCAGTCTGCTTCTTCTCAGCTCTGGAGCCCTCTGCAGCAGATACAGCAAGACTTCCATTTTAGCCGAATGACAAAGCAGGGCGCATCAATTTACCATAGAGCAAAATCAAGCAAGACGGGTAATCAGCCAGCCAGTCAGGTTGGAAACGATGATCTTATGTGTGTTTGCTGTTGTTGTTGTTATTAGGGTTTTATACCACATACATTGTATTATATCGCGCTGTCAAGCGTGATTTAGTAATTTCCTGCAGAAACTCCTTGGTCTTGCGTCTTCAGCTGTCCGGCTGTGCTGCTCAATGCTGCGCTCGGATAACGCAGCCCGTGGGTGTTTACGGAGGAGGTGACCCACGATGCACATGCATCTGGTAGAAGTTCTGGGTAACTTTGTCCATTTTTAAACCATGCATTTATGCAGTCATTTGTGGAAAAATATGCCCCATTCTATGCAAATGGCCTCATTGGACTTCACCAGCAACAGCAGTAAATGTACCATCTGCTGAGAGTTGGTGCTAACTTTGTCGCAGTATTTACAAGAGATGGCACGACCAAATGTTCCAGTGATGAAAACAATTCTGCCTCTTTGTTACCCAAAAATAAATGATCCTCATAAAGTCTGTAAATATTATAAACAGGGTTTTAAGCAGTCTGGGACTGTCAGCGGCTTCACACTTCATCTACATGGAAGGAAGTTTGTTTTAAATGGTAAAAAGTAATTGTATTTTTTGAGTCTGGCCTCACAATAAACTGGAAAAAATTGTCCTTTCCCCCCAGCTCATTATCTTTATGTGGACAGATCTGAGCTCTGTCAGCATGAGAGCAGCTCCGTTAAGAGTAAAAGGTGCAGATAGATTCTCTCCACATTCAGACACATTCAAAAGAAAACTGCACAGAGCAGGACAACATTTTCCTTTGTAAATTAGAAGTTGATAGCATGAGCAAAATGATGTGAATGTTTTTTTAAAGAGCCCATATTATGCCCTCTTTGGGGTTCGTATATTTAATCTATGTACCTACTAAAGTATGTTCAAAATAACTAAAGTTTTAAAAAAGTGTCTGTTTTCATGTATTGCCGTTCCATGCACCGGCTCGCTTCTGACTCTCTCTAAGGCTCTGAAGTGCCCACGTTCAGAGTCCCCACGTGGGCCAAGTCTGATCTGATTGGTCGGCCTGTCGGCTCTGCCGTAATTGGTCAGTCGCAAAAACCTTAGCACCTCAGCACTACTGTGCTACCGCAGGCTACGGCATATCGTGGGCGTGCTACAGAAGTTAATGGGCGTGCAACATGAGCTGCAGGGCTTGCCACAACAAGCCAATGGACTTAGATCAGTGATCTCACACTGACAATGACGTCGGACTGGCAAATTTTTATCGAGGGGGCAAGAACCGAGCGTTACATGCAGCTAATGCTACAGCTAACAGGACGACGTAGGAGAAGCTGCGTTTCCGCAGACTTTGAATTTTTGCACATAGATGTGCCTAAACATGCACAGGACACTTGGAAAACACACTAAAGAGCATATAAAACCAGAAAAGCATAATATGTGCCCTTTAAAGCTATTAGCGAATGCGACACATTCTTAGTGGATCAGGCCCCTGAGTTTTGTCATTGCAGCAGTGAGATAAGTGTCATTAAATGTATTATTCTGTCATAGAGGGTGACGATGCAATCTTCCATCACTGCTGCTAAGTCAACCAGGCTGCTATGTTTCACTTATACATGATATCTGTTTTTTTCCGTCTACCCTCTGTCTGAATCAGTGAGAATGCTCTTCACATGATCAGTGAAACCTGACTCCTGTTCCTCTGAGCTTCATTGCTGCTGCTGTTAAGAGGGCAGACAGTTGTGTAGTAGTATAAGCCCCAAACATGGGGTGACACACGTTGACACAGGCGACCATGCCAAGCCTTTTGCTCTTGTGAATTTTCCCAGCCGGGAACTCATTTTTCTGATTTTTCCTACACCACATGAATACAGGGTTATATACGCAGCTCTGAGGTCACAGATGGGGCTAACCCTAAACCCTGCTCAGATGCGGACCTGGATAAAGGATCCAGAATCAGATTTATAGGCCTAACACAAATGAAGTTTGACTCTGGTTTTAAGTTGCTTTCATTTGAAACATAGCGATAAGACAAATAAGACAACGAGAGGCTGGCACCATTTGATAACACACACATATACACACATATATCCTGATGGGAAGATGTTTGTGTGTGTATGTGCATCACAAATTGGGAGCGTTTGCCTTGCTTATTGCTGGGATGCTTTGTGGGCGGTGTGTGAGGGGGAGCATAATTAAAATAGTTTCTGGGAGAAACAGCACACCACATCTGAGGTTCCACCCTCTTCCAGCATCTAACCACATCAAGAGCGTCTCACTTAGAGAACAACCTCTGCTACACACGGCCAAGCTCATGTTTTTGGTGGTGTGCTGTCTGACTGGACAGGGGTCTCACAGGGGCATAAATGTGCACACATTTTGTAATTAAAAGAGCTGATCACCAGGGGTAAATAAAGTGACAGAGGCAAGCTAGCAGGGTGATGTATGGGAGGGGAAGACAAATTAACCGTCGGCTCTCTGGGGGATTCTCAGCAGAGGCCTTCACAGCGGTGGTGGAGCAGCGCCAAAGGGCAGAGAGATTTGTAGATGATGGTGCTAATTACCAGAATGCAAACCATAATGCGACCAAGATGGAAGCAATTTAGGCAGTAGTCATTTAGCCTGCTGCTCTTCCGCCCACCGGCTGCTGCCTCGCCAGAGCCGGGGCATTAGGATGGGAAAAGTCTGGGAAGATCCATCGCTCAGGAGGTATAACGCACATGGAGGGGAGCCTTGTGACCCGGCAATTCATTTTTCTCTTCGTCTAAATTAGGATTTTACAGGTCAGGATGGAGGTATAAATACACGAGAACAAAGACGGCTGTGAATGGGTTTTTTGGGGCGGGGGTTGATTTCCAGGTTGAGCTGCAGTGTCACAACTCTTGAGGAGATCACGTGGACAGGACAGCAAGCAGCTTTGATACAAGAAACTACAGACACTTGATATTGACCTCAGTCTGTGGGCTTTACTTTGTGTGTGTGTGTGTGTGTGTGTGTGTGTGTGTGTGTGTGTGTGACAAGCACCTGTTAAACTGGGATACATGTAGTTTACAGTTTGGGAACGTGCTGAACACAACATTTTGCTTTTTCAAAATGCTAAATGTTTAAATTGAGAGAGTGAGGCCTCTGAAGGTCTTATTTCAGCAGCTCAAGTTGAGTTCCCTGCAACGTGTGTGAAGGTGAAGGTGGGTGTTACTCCTCACCTGTTGCTGGCCCTGCCTTGCCTTTATAATTTGGGATGTCTAATTGCTCTTTGAGGAGATTTCAGAGCTGTTCCGCGCTCAGCCACTGTGTAATTTTATCCACGCTGGAGTCTCTCACTTCACACAGGGCCGATACCTTTTGCCTCCCCCTTTCCTTTGTATCAATTGGTCGGAGTTCAGCCTATTGTCGCCACAAGCCTCTTTTATATGTGCGCTCAGTCTGAGCTCGGGCTCTCAGTCAGACCCGCAGGAGGGATTTCAGGCAGCAGCAGCAGCAGCAGCGGAGGCGAGGAGCGGATCCAGCTCGCTCGGGGGGCGGCTGTCTTGGATGTTTTTTTTAAGGCTGGGGCTCCGGAGCTTTGTGGCCCTGACTCTTTAATGGGACCCGCGGGCACGACGACTTCCCTGATTTTTCGCCACAGTCGACTCTCTCCGGCCATGCCATAATGCTGATGATTCCTCTGCTGCTGTTTCTGCTCAGCCTGTCGGATCCCGTTAGTTCCCGGGCCCGCTGCTCCCCGGGCCAGGCTCCCTGCGACCCCCGGCAGCGGAGGGACGCCGGGGGCCGCGGAGGAGTCTACGAGCACCTCGGAGGAGCGCCGAGACGCAGGAAACTTTACTGTGCCACAAAATATCATTTACAGATCCACCAGAACGGAAAAATCGACGGATCACTGGAGGAGAACAACCCGTTTAGTGAGTTCTCACGCGCTTTTACGCACAGACACCAACACACGAGGGGGAAAAAGTAGTAACATTGGGAAAGTAAAGATTTTTTTTTTAATTCAAGGATTGCCAAATATTAAAAACAGACAATTTTTAAATTATTATTCTAATTTTAATTATTATATACAACAAATGCGCATTATTAAATATCTGTGAATAAAAAGATTAAGGTTTGTTTGTGTTAATCGATGTCAGTGAATTGTGATTAATCTATCAGTTTCACTGTCAGTTACTGTGTGTGTGTGTGTGTGTGTGTGTGTGTGTGTGTGTGTGTGTGTGTGTGTGTGTGTGTGTGTGTGTGTGTGTGTGTGAAAAGCTGCATGCCGACATGCAGGTTAATCTCCGCTGGATGTATTAACATCCCGGTGGGACAAAAGGCGCTGTCCTAACGGATGTATTTATCTAATCAGGGCCCATTAGAGGCTCTTCACCGCCTCAATGGGCCATTGACTAATCAAGAACTGATTAAAACAGCCAATAAACACACTGAATGGAAGTTTAGTTTGTTGACTTTCAATGACACAACAGTTTGTTTCTACACGTCTGATCATACCTTTAAGATTTATAACAGTGTCACTGTAAAAATACTTTTTTGTGTGTCTTATATTCAACCTGTGTGTGTGTTTGTGTGTTGCAGGCATCATGGAGATCACAGCAGTGGATGTGGGTGTTGTGGCCATAAAGGGGCTTTTCTCTGGCAGATATCTGGCCATGAATGATAAAGGGCGGCTGTACGCCTCGGTGAGTCCACATTTCATCTCTTACTGAGACTTTAAAACATGCACAAAACTACTGAAAACTGCCTGACATTTTTGAGGGTAAGCTTCATGTGTAAATGTCAAAACAGTGACATTTTGCACTTTGAATATTTCCTGACAGCACCCTAAAAAAAAATGTCTGTGTGAAGTTGTTTTGAGCGCACCTGGAAATATTTAGGAAAATTCACCAAGAGAAAGTGGGAAGGGTTGATGACATTTATATCCTGTGACTGGTGTGTAGGGGCAACCTGTATGTGAAAGGTTTATATGAATCAGACTTTTCACATGTTTAGGATTGACACAGGTCGCATGTTTAAGGCCTGAAATGTGACAACACAGAAAGGTTTGTTTACCTGGTGTTAATCTGGTGTAAACAGTTTTTTTTTGGTTAGTGTGCACAAGTTAGTCAATGGGAAAAAAAATACTCAAGGAAATAATTCATGCCGTCCCTCATTTCGTCCTTCTCCCCCTGCAGGAAGTGTTCAACAGAGAGTGTGAGTTTGTGGAGCGGATTCACGAGTTGGGCTACAACACGTATGCGTCGCGCCACCACTCCACCGAGCAGCCTCTGCCACCAGGCGGCGGTGGCGGCGTCAGCGGCGCCAAGCGGCGAGCCAGTGCCAAGCGCCAGTGGTACGTTTCCATCAACGGCAAAGGGCGGCCGCGGCGAGGCTTTAAAACCCGCAGCACAGATAAAGCGTCGCTCTTCCTGCCCCGCGTGCTGGGCAACAAGGACCACGAAATGGTGCGGCGGCTGAGAGACAGTCAGAGTGCACAGCACCACGCTCATCAAAGCGCCAACCGCCGAGACCACCGGAGACGCAGACATCGGGCCAGGAAGGGACGGCGGGGCGGAGATAATTAAGCAGACTTTTTAGAGAAACCCTTGTACATGGACCCCTGACCCCCCATACGGAGCTACACACAGCAAGAGGAAGTTTGGATCCTTTGGATAAGTGGACGTGTTTGTTGATGATGTAGGATACTCACACACAAAGATGTGTTCTAAAAAGTCTTCATGATGCTACTGTCCTGTAAACACATGTTCTCATGTTGACTCCCGTCTCACTTTGTAAAAAGGTCCTCAGCGACATCAAGCAAAAAAAACAGGTTGTTGTAAATACAGTATGCACTATGCATGTCCAGAGACTTTAAAAGCTTTAGTTTGTCAGAAGATGACGCGACAAACGTTATAATATTCTGTTATGTTGAAGTGCGAGACAGCGAGAGAAGAAAGGACTTCACACAGCGAAGCACTTTTTTATCTGATTTACGTTAATGTTGTGTTCAAACCAGAACATGAGCTCATTTTTTTGCGCCCGTTATTTGCAACAGAGTCAAAGCAAAGACTCGTTAGGATGTTAAGAGGATGTTAAGAGAGTCTTCAAGTGTTCAGAATCTCATATCATCCGGAAGTTGCTACAGAAAATAATCAATCAAAACTTCATTCAGAAATAAAAGCATTTTCAAAGTGGGCTCTTACCACGTCTTGTCTTGCAGGAAAAATCATGAATTTGACTTTTTAATAATCACCATCATGATCTAGTTATATCTGCATCCTGACCACCTATTAGAACCAAATCAATCTCAGTCAGATCTGTTGATTTTGGGTTCACAGCGCTGTTGTAAAACAGATTTTGAGCTGACTTTAGTGTGACTTACAGACTGTTAACATACAGTGAAACTGTCACTCAGTGAGCTCAACACCTGAAACATGACACCCGTAGTTGGTGTCCCATCAGAGGGAGTCCTGGTACTGATCCTGGCTAACAGGTCATCAAACTGGGACCTGGTCAGCCTCAAGTACCTGGAAGTAGCAGGAAAGGTCATCATCACTGACAGGATGGAGTTTGGTTTTCTGAACGTATCTGGAGGGAGGAAAGTTCAACATTTGACCCAAAGCGAAAAAGATTAGTGTCAGTTTTTGGTCTGAACACAGCTGAGAAGCAAAGGGACACTGTGATAGTCTACTGTGTGTAAACTCAAAGATGTACTTTGTATATTGTACTAATGATATGAATATTTATTTGGTGCCTGTGTTGTAAGTTATTGATAAGACTTTGTTTCTGCATTTTGCTGTTGTTTCTGTTTGTTTTCACTCAGCAGCTGGTTCAAAACATAAAACACGAAGGTACTGACCCGACGAACAAACACTGTCTCTCTGAGTCCTTCTTTTTATACTTTGATCTCAAATAGTTTAGATCAGTGGTTCCCAAAGTGAGGGTCGGGACCCCCTGGGGGGTCGTGGAACACTGTTGGGGGGAGTCACGAGATTCCTTCCAAAAACATATAAAAATAGAAAATGGTTTAAAATTGGATATTTCACCCATTCATTTGAAAATACAGTATGTAAAAAAAGTAGTTTCTTACAATAAATTACAAAAATAATATGATGGTGTTTGGGCTATTGTTTGCTGTTCTAATGCCAGTGTCAAATGTGGGGTCCTAAGTATCTATCACCGTTATATTGGGGGTCGCAAGCTGAAAGGTTTGGGAACCCCTGGTTTAGATTGTCTGTTGAAAAGGAAAGATTTGAGGTTCCATTATAGAGCTGAATTCTACGGAAGCCCTAAAGGGACATGCATCAACAGAATTAATTAGTTAACACTCGAAAACAAACGTTGTCATCCTGAGTCACCGAGATAAGTAAGTTGTGATCTCGAGAAGTAAAACTGAAATGTAGGCTACTCGTTTTCACTGGGGAAATGGATTTAAATAAGATGTAAGGATGTATGTCCTTTTAGGGCATCATATAACTGCTCAAATATTTAAAGTCAGGAAGCGTTTTTATGTGAGTGTATGATATAACTTTGGAAAACCTTGTTCAAATAATCCTCAATCTAAGATTTAACCATTAAAGGCTGAAGCACTCTTTATTTTTTTTCTATAGTATCAAACAGAAGGATTTAAAAATGCTTCTCGACGCTCCTTGCTAGAGAGTGGAGAACCAGTTACCAGCTAGAAATCATCATGTGAACAGGACCCCAGTGTGCAGGAGTTTCCCTGCAATTCTTCTTTTTTTTTTTATTGAAGTTTTTTTTTATTGAAGGGTTTTTGAATTTAAAACAGAAACAGGCAATGGGGGAAAAAAATACAAGGAAAAACTCTAAAAGTAAAATTATTCAGAAGCTATATGTTCCCAAGCCTGCCTGCAAGTTAGCCCCCCCCCCCCCACGCATGTTCCTAATTTCGTACATACATATATCCACACAAACCTTTGCACATATACATAAATATCAATCAATAAAAATAGATTAATAAAATAAAAAACAACAAAAATGAAGAATACAATTCATGCATCCATGTTGTCAAAAATAGACTATGGACTAACAAGCCCCTTATTGGTGCCGTAGATAACATAGGAACACATGCAAAATATTCACAAATATTTCAAAGGGTTGGTCTGGTGTGAACCTCCTCGTGACATGATATTTTGTCAATGTTTCACATTTAGTGTCCCTGCATTTCTTGACCGACTCATTCTCCTCTTAAAATACTGTTGCTGTTTCTTTACTTCTGAACTTTACGATAATGTCGATCATCAAAATAAATTATTTTTAAAATTCATGGTGGCTTACAGTATTTAGGGGGAGGAACATTTGAATGTCAATCTAAAAAGCTTTTAATGAGTCTTAGGCATAATGAAGGTGTAGTAACATCTCAGGGTTGACCGAGGCTGTGGTGGAGGGGCCTCGATGTGACGCCTTTTCATGGGTCCCAGAAATCTTTGTGATACCCCTGTGTACAGGTGTGCCTGTTACATCAAGCTACCTACTTATAATAAATTTGTGTTTGGAGGATGGGGAGTATTTAAAGTAGTACCCCCTCCCCCCCTCCCCCCTCTATCTACCCCCTCTGCAGCTCATTTGTTAAAGTGTCCCACCTGTCGCAGCTACATGACCAAGCACTAACCACAAAGACCAATGTGAATGCAAAATTCATCAGAGCAGCGTTCAGACTCCTCTGGACGTTCAGGTTTGCCTCGCCTCGCTCACATCTATAGGTTGCTGCATAGAAAGCCGTGTCACCCTATACCTGCGGGCTGGGGAGGCTTCCTGGCCCCGGACAAAAGCTCCTCCCAAGGGGGGCCTGGGAAGCGATGCCGCCTGAGACTTTTAGGCTTTTTTTTGATAACACCGACCAAAAGCGCAGAGTGGATAAACAAGGCAGGCCCTGGTGAGAGCAGAAACTGTGTCACACAGTGTAACATCTCACACTCTAAGATTACCCAACAGGAATGCACAACTTCACACAGCTTCTTCCCTGATCTGTCATTTAGAAACATTTATGTCCCTAAATGACTCAAATCTTTTTTTATATATGCTTTCAAAATGTAATATCAAATATTTCTCTATCATGGACAGGGCTGATAGGAGCAGTGTTAGGACTCCTCGGGGAATTTGGACAACAATTACATAACAGCTCAATCATTCAGAGAGGGAAAAACTGAGTGAACTTTGATCTCATATCACACTTTTTGTTTCCCTGAAGTGCAGAGTGGCTAAAAAAGATGATAAAAAGCCTTTATGTTTATAATCATTAATTTGAACAGGTTTACTATTAAATATATTCACACATTAAACCATGACATTTTTCAAATAACCATGAATAAGAACAGAGTCAGACTGAGTGGACTGTGTGACTCTTTATGGCTGAATAATTAAATGTTTATATACACACACAATTATAAACTTACCGTATATAAAACAAACAAACAGCAGCCAGAAGATTCATCAACTCCTGAGATTGAGTTTAGTTCAAAGTCTTATGAATGATTTATAAAGTTAAAGTTATCAACACTTTAAAACGGACTCCTGAAAAATGTATTTTATCATCATCATCATCATCATCATCATCATCATCATCATCATCATGAATGACACACGTGTTCCCAGAGAAATAATCCTGTTTCAAACAGAACTCTGTCCTCCAAATGTTAAGATAAAATAAGATAATCATTTATTTATCCCACAACAGGGAACTTTACATTGTTACAGTAGCAAAGAGCAAAGATTGCAAACAGAAATTAACACAGTACACAATTTAAATAAAAAAAAAATGGGGTGGTTGATGTGTTTGGAGAATGTCAATTCTGAGCTGTCAACAGAATAAGCCCCCCTACTCCATACAATTATTACAACAACGAACAGTCATACATACAAATATAATATAAGATACATAAATACGTTAAATAATAATAATAATACAGTAAATAATAATACAGTAAACTTAAGACCCGCTTTGAAATACAAAATTACTCCGGGGCCCATTGTATATATATATTTTTTGACTACAGCTATAACTTTCAGTAAGGGTAAATTATTGGACATTAAAACATGATATTATGGCAAGATAGACACAAAAGTTTACTGAACATTATGTCCATGAATAGTCATGACACGCCTTACTAATCACTGAAAGGGTTAACTCATGGTAAATCATCATTATTGGGATATTTATTAATTTAATTTTTAAACTTGGTGGAGGGCTTTTCGCGGCCCACCTGCAGTACCCACACGACCCACCAGGGGGCCACGGCCCACACTTTGGGAAGCACTGCAGTAGACTTTAATAGGGCTTGTCTGAGTACTCAAAGACACTTAACAAAGAATAACAACAAATCAGAACAGAGAAACAATAAAGAAATAGTAAACGAGAAGAAGGATAAAAACAGCTTTAGTGGTTGTAGGCAAAGTTGAAGAGGTGAGTTTTTAGAGATTTCTTGAAGGTGGAGAGTGAGGGGGAGCGAGTTCCAGAGGGTGGGAGTGGCAATGGAGAAGGAAGGCCCTGTCCCACCAGGACCGATGGTTGGTCCTGCTGACAGGAGGTTTGAGTCAGCAGACCTGAGAGTGCGGGTGGGACTGTGCAGGTGGAGGAGCTCAGACAGGTAGAGGGGGAGGAGCTCAGACAGGTAAGGGGGAGGAGCTCAGACAGGTAAGGGGGAGGAGCCAGGTTATGGAGGGCTTTGTTGGTGAAATAAGAAGTAAAACAGCAGATATTTGTCAAGATCGCCCTCAATTATAAAACACATCCAGCAGAACATTTACAGTCAGATGTGTCCAGCTCCAAGTCATTGAACACCTTTTTCATATAATCCTCCACTGAGAGCAGCTCTTCATGTTTCAGGTCTTTTCAGGTCATTTGTTCCGGGTAAAGGAGGGCAACAAACGTAACGTCTTTTCCACCAGTTCAGTTAAAAACATTTTTTTAACAGAATCCTAAAACTTCCCATCTCAGTGGCAATGAGTAAAGCTCCTGTTGTCTGAGACAAGTCTGTTAAAAGTTGCTTTAAAATGAAATCTGGGTCGCCCCCGTGGTCCAGCGGTCATGTGCTGAGGGTCGTTGTCACATTCACCCTCTTTTTCCTCCCAACATTTCCTGTCTGTCTTCAGCTGTCTTATCTAATAAAGGCAACTTAAAAGGGAACTTAAAATTATTTTAAGTTTAATGTAGTGAGTTTTTGTCACATCAAATACTCAATATTTTACGTTTTTTTGTCATCTCAACTAATGTGACATTTTTCATCTTAATGTTTCAATTCAAATTAAGAAAAGGAGTCAAAAGGATATTATTATTGAGCTGACCCGAATATAAATATATAAAAACAAGTTAAGTGCTAAATGGACTCGAGCTTGTGTGACACTTTTCTAGTCTTCAGACTACTCAAAGCGTTTTATGAATACAAATGAATTTCAATTCCTCACCTCAAGTTCAGTCCACTTAGATGCAGCTCAAACTCTAACTTTTTTAAGTTCAAACAACTCTTCTTTTTTTGAGTGTTTGATTGTGAAAAAAAAAATCAATTTCAACAAGTTTTTCCTCTAATGCCAAAGATGACATTAACAAAAAAATTACTTTATTATTGAGCTTTGCTTATATAATCATTCAAGGCAGTTTAAAAGGAAAGTGCAGAAACATTCAGCTTTATTACTAACATAATTATTACTTATAAGTATATTATACCAGTTCAAAAGTTTGAGTGTGAGACTTCAGGAGCAGATCATAGTGCAAAGCA